AGATGTTAATTAATTTACCCAAGCAGCTAGCAAGTAGGATGGCATCTGGACTTGAATTTCAGGTCTTTCTGACTCCAGAGCCCATACATTTTCTTCTTATCATGCTGCCTCTATCATCTATTAATAGAAAGCAGACCCTTACAAAATCTTATGTTTTGGTTTATTTTATCATAATTGTAAAAACATAATATGTGTTTTGTGGATAGAAATAATAGTAGGGAAATGCTGACTTAAGATGGAGGGGAGCAGAGAATTACAGAATTTTGTGTCTAGAATGTTTCATGACCCAATCTCTGTGTGTAGCGTGGGGGCAAATGGTGAGCTAAGCAGGAGCTCAAGAAGAAGAGAAAAATGTGAATGTTAGTCTTGGTTTTTCTTGTTTTTTGTGGTACTCTTACTCCTCATTTTATATTCCAATAAAGGTATGAAAACTTTGAAATTTTAGGAATTTTATTATGTAACAAGAATTCTAGAACATGAACTTAGGATCAGACCTGGTTTTAAATTGTAGTTCTCCTACTTACTGGTTGGGTGACCTCGAAGAAATAACGCAATTCTGTGGCTCATTTAAAACAATCCTGTAAAAGGGAATGTGTGTTGATAGGGTCATTGTGAGAATGAAGTAAAATATATTTATCAAGTAATGCAATATAATCTTATGAACTGCCTGTCACGTGGTATATGCTCCATCACTGGTGACTCCTGTTACTGTAATTATGAGGATATTTTCCTTTTTATGGAAGCAATGGAAGCAGGAATGGAGGATGAACATGAGTGGGTCTTACTTCAGAGAGGCAGAGCAGTAAAGCAGGGGGAGCCTTGGCAAAGGAGCCCGGAAACTTCAGTTTTAGACTGGATCTGCCAGTGACTTGATGTTTAAGCAATAGGCAGGTCACTGTATCTCTCTGACAAGTCCCTGCCCTCATGGAGCTTATATTCTAGTTGGGTGGGGGGAGGGATGGATAATAAAAGTAAAAAATGAAATATAAGATCTGTATGTTATTGAGGAAGGGAAGGGGAGAGAGGGAGGGGAAGAGGGATTGAGAGAGAGAGAGAGTAGAAAATACTCTGAGCAAGAAAAAAAAATCAGGCTTCTAGGTCATTTGGTCTTGAATAGAGTGTGGTGAAAGTTCAGGGTTAAAAAAGAATCCCCTATCCTCTTTTCTTGATTTAACTCTTTCTGTAGTACTTATGTACTACTACCAGACTTTAAAAAATTAATTTTAATATGGAAATTATCAAATATGCAATAGTGGAGGGACTGGTATAAACACGTCCATATACACATTACCCAGATTCAGTAGTTATCAAGGGCTTCCCACACTTGTTTCATATGTATTTCCTTTCCCTCCCCTTTCCTCTCCTATTATCCTCCCCTTTCTACACCCTATGGTTTTAGAAGACTCCCAGGACTTCCTTGAGAATGCTGTGCTCAGAAGTACCCTGTCATTTGTTTACAACTAACTCCACAGTGGTACCTTAGATCCACCCTCTTATCCTTTTTATATGCAAGAGCAGTAGACAGCCAATGTGCTGGATTCACTGAGTTTCCCAGAATCTCCAATAAGTGGTCCGTTCCAGTGTGTAGACCAGACACCCCTCTGTGGCAGCACTTCGGAACTACACTTTCACCAATGGTGTCAGGAGAAAGTGAGTTGTCATTCCTGCACACTGAATGCAGAAAGGCAGCGCATTCTCTTCCCTTCTGTCCCTCTTCTTTTCCTCCTTACCGTTGCTTCTTTGAATGGAAAGATCCCAAGATGGCAGTTCTCTCAGAAGCCAACCAGAGCTCCTGTTGTGCAATCTAGTGGCATATAATCAGGAATAACATTCCTGCTTATCAGAGCATAATACCCTATTAAGGACTTCTGAGAAACTTACCCAGGTCAGATATTATAAGGGAAATAGCTCTCCCTGTCTGAATGGGATAGCTTCCCTAATCGTAAATGTTTCTCCACATCTTCTAACAACCTTAAAGAGACTTAAGTCCATTTGCCCTTATTACTGCCTGGAAGGCCACCTGCCCTTTGAGTGGAGCATTCCCTTTCTTGTGACTAGGATCCTTCTCCACTCATCCTTTCATTTGCTATCAAGAAAGCACAGTGCTCTCTTCACCCCTGCGGCACCCCTTCCCTTCCCTGCGTTCATCTTAACTCTTTGGTCCACCCTTCTCCTCTGCCTGAACCTCTGCTGTTTAGCTCAATATAGTACCATGCTGCCCCCCCCCCTTACTTTCTGCTACAGAATATCCATTCTGATCTGTGGTTGGTAACTTTTTTCAACTTCAGGAGAGAGACTTTTCTGGTAAATTGCTGGGGCTCTGTTTTATAAGAGAATGTACACATAGTTCCTATGAGTATCTGTATATTAACTGCTTAAATTTCGTTGCCTGCTCAACAAGCATGGTATTGGCACTCAGTGCTGTTTCACTTGTTTGGCCTGCCTATGCATTTAACACCCCCAATCCCCCAATAATAATAGCTCAATTTCTGAATGTTGTATGAAAGGCAGTGGGCTCTGTGAAAGTAAGGACGTTGTCCTTATAGAGTACATAGTAGGTACTCCCTACATAATTGCTGAACCAAAGTGAAACCAAGAGAGCAACAAGTTAGCTGAAGTGTTTCAAGTAGTAGGAAATGTCTTTTGAATAGTGAATAGCACAGATCAAACTGGAGGGCTTTGCACACTATGTAAAGAAACTCCTGAATCCTATAAGTGATGAGGAGCTATTTAATTTGTTTTGTATATCCTATAGAGGTGTAATTCATATACATACAAAAAAGTGCACAAATCTTAAATGTTTAGCTTGGTAGATTCCTACTTACGTATATACCTGTGTAATTACTGCTCAGATCTAGAAAATATTTCCAGAACCCCAGATGGGGAACTTTTATCTTGATTAACAACATTCAGATACTAAGTCCCAGAGGTCACATGGTTGGTCTTTGATGCAGCTAGGACTGGAATTATTACAGCTGCTCCCAGGATTAGCAAGTCTTTGTACTTGAATAAAAACACTAGTCCAGGCCATATAACTGCATGACAAAAATAACATGATATTGTTATGGTTAACATTTATTAATCAGCATGTCTTGGCACTTTATATGTATTACTTCATTTTATCTACTCAAGGTTTTGTTACTGTCCCTATTTTATACATGCTATAGTTTAGAGAGGTAAAGTGATCTTAGGCCCCACAGCTAAGAATTATCAGAATTAGAATTAAACCCAGGGGCTGGCTGGTTAGCTCAGCTGGTCAGAGCACAGTCCTGTCAAGGTCAAGGGTTCGGATCCCTGTACAGGCTAACTGCCAAAAAAAAAAAAAAAAAAAAAAAAAAGAATTAAACCCAAGATTGCCCATCATCAGAGACTGATTTCTTATTGGCAATGTGCTGCCTCAAATATCTGGTATCTGTATTTTAAGTGACAAAAATGTTATTTATGTCTTTGTGGTGGGAGGTGATGGTTGTTACCTGCACACAGTGACTGCTCATTTTAAACATATTGTGACCTGTGGCTTACTAGAAAAATTATGAGAGGGAAAGGGATTTTTGATTCCATGACACTCAAGCCCCACAGTGATGTTCCTTAGGATGAAGAATCATTCAATGAGGGTGGCTCTTTAAAATTTACATGTAGCAGAAAGATAATGGTCTCTTAAGATATTCAAAGAAGAATATGAAACTTCCACAGCCACTAAAAGGAAAACCAGTTTATTCTAATGGACTTCAAAGTTGTATAAATCAACAGTCTTCTTTATTTGTTATGCCTTAGTTTAATCTCATAATGCAAAACATCATCACATTTTAGAGAATTCTTGCTGTTACGTATGTCTTGGACATTTGTAAAGTTATATTTAATATTTGTCTATTCATTATATTTTTAGCCAAAGTGGTAGGACAAAGTGGTTGCCAAAAGTGACAGTGCAGCACTTTCACACATAGACTGGGTGTGGTCCATGAAATGCAGGTTTTACAAGATAAAAGCATGGCGAGAAGTATCAGTGCTGTGGAGAAACATGTTTCAAGAAACTAATCTTTTAAAGTATAAAGTATACTTTTTTTTTTTTTTAAATTTAAAGATGACCAGTAATGGTATCTTAACTCTTGACTTGGTGTTGTCAGCACCATGCTCTCCCAAGTGAGCCACGGGCAGGCCCCAAAAGTACACTTTTTAAAGTATAAACAGCATGCTATCCAACTTGCTTGCCTACAGACTGCAGTTTTTTGTGGTTTAGAGTAGTAGGTCCAAAGAACATTGTTGCCAGTTGTATTTACTTTTTGAAGAGGTGTGGATGCAAAAAAGTAAGTTCAGGATTGTTTTGATACCTGATTGTTTTTAAAGGGGGATGGTGTGTGGTGGTGGAGATGGCTTCTAACTAAAAGTTACTGCTGTTGGTAAATGTTTCTTTTACAGACTTTGTTTAATAAATCATGCATTTAAGAGAAACCATCAAGAAGGAAATAGGGTTATAGATACTGAATTCTGTGATTAAAGTTATTCCTAAAATATAAATAAAATGGGGAAAGTGTCCTTCAAAAATAAATATGTAAAGTCATCGCAGAAGGCAGATTGGTATCCCCCCATACCACTCCCCAAAACCCCTCTCAGGCTTTTTTTTTTTTTTTTTAAACTGTCCTGTTCAGAGCACCTACTTCTCAGTAGCTTTCTGCTGTTTGTGTAGGTCACCATGCCAAGGGTGTCACTTAAAAATGCTGTGTCCCTGGAGGCAGCAGGTCCCACTGCCAGGAGACCTTACCTGAAGAATGGCTGAACACCCTTGGTGCTGGAGAGCACCTACTTCTCAGTAGCTTTCTGCTGTTTGTGTAGGTCACCATGCCAAGGGTGTCACTTAAAAATGCTGTGTCCCTGGAGGCAGCAGGTCCCACTGCCAGGAGACCTTACCTGAAGAATGGCTGAACACCCTTGGTGCTGGTTCCCAACATTAAGCTGTTGTCTTCAAGTCATTCCCTCAGAGTTTGTGATGAGCCAGGGGGAAAATGGGCTTTGAGGAAGTCAGTCCTGAATAGAGCAAAAGAGGTGCTCAGAACAAAAGACAGATGATGTCAGTGTCCTAGTTAGTACCTTTCTGTAAGAAGGAGGAAATACGTGCTCTCTCAGATTATTGTTGTTTTCTTTTTAAAACCTTTTTAAAGATAATTGTGAAATGTATGCTAAGGCTCTTCCTTTCTTACTCAGATACCTTAACTATCCTTTTTTAACCATGTTGATTTCAGAAGAGAACAGTTGGGAGGCTTTGATAACAGCAGAGAGAAATAGATTCTAAGATAAAAAGCAACAAAGACATTAGTGAAAGATAAGTTTGATAGGCCTGCAAATGAAAAAACTCTGAAATGATGTTTCCTTATTATATAATACATAAGGAAGCTGAAGGGGGAATAAGACAAAGTGTGAGAAAGAAGGTTGTGGATGGAATGTGTGTCCAGGCCTCTTTTGTTTCTATTTCTTTCCAACTGCTTTTGTTCTTAGGACTGATGCGTACAATTGGGTTGCAAATTCGACTGGTCTGAATTTATGAATAGGTTTATGTGGTTTTTTGAACTTTTCTAGAACTTGAGATCTGGATTCTTAGCCTTACATAATTATGAAAAAATTATAGTAGATCTTTTACAGTCTTATTGCATATTTCAGATGTTGAAAATTCTGACATATTTAGTACCCTTTCTCCACTTGGAAGGTGCTCCAAAGAGACATCATTTAGTTGGGAATTCACATAGTAGGATAAACCCTAATACAAAGAAAACATTTTTACTATTTCTGGATAAGTGGAATTTGATAAAGTTACATTGGTACTTTGTGGGTAGTCAAGTAAACATAAATTTGAAAACAATGTTTTTGTTTTGTTTTGTTTTGTTTTTTCTTTTACAGTCCTATTTTGTGACAGATTATGACCCAACCATTGAAGATTCCTACACAAAGCAGTGTGTGATAGATGATAGAGCAGCCCGGCTCGATAGTAAGTACTCTTCCTGTATTTGATAGTTTGCATATTGTATTTATAAAAAGTAAGCTCTGATGTTTTGCTAGGTTAAATAGTTTAATTGAAATATTAGATGATATAAAAAGTAAGCTCTAATATATAACTGAAGTATTAGACGATCTTGAATATAAGATCATCTCTGATTCATTTTGATTCATGAGCCTGCATATTAGGCAATTTAAATATTCCTCAGTAAATGAGAAGTAAAACAGTAATTAGGTTGACCTTGTGCTGGTAAAACTAGTTTGGTTATTGTAACTTGTCGAAGTTGTATTTAATGGGACAGCTGGAAAAAAACGTGTCATATCTCATTTCTTCCTACCTCTTGGCAAAGGTTAAAGTGGGTAAAGTGAATATAGAAAAGATTCAGTATTTGTTAACTTAGAATTCATAGCACAGATGCTTTAACAAATAGTGTTTTGTGCCTAAACATCCCACCTGTTTACAAAAGAAAGCCTTGTTCTTTTAACTTGAATGGTTCTTCTATTCACAGAGTTCAAGAAATATATTAACACCTGTACAAAGTATGGTATTGGGAGGGGGTACAACCAGAATTTCTTTTATGAACTCACAGGTGTCTTTTTCAGTTCTTTGCATGGAGGGGATAAAACCTCCAGGTTATTTCAGAGGTTATCTGATTCCACCTGCCTAGATGTATTTGATATTTTTAACCTGTAATTGGTATGCTAATATATTCTAACCACAAATCAGCCTGTACTGATGAAGATAAACAATGAAACTAGAGTCTGCCATTAGAATATATTTGTCTTTAGTGTTGAGAATAAAGTACTAAGAGAGGAATGCCATTTCCTTATTACATCAAGTGTGAGGCTGTCTAGAGGACCCACGTGAATTGAGCCTGCCCTTGCGGGGAGGCAGTTTATAAAATGAAAACACAAACACAGTTACATTTGTTGTTTTTTTCTTTAGTTTTGGATACAGCAGGACAAGAAGAATTTGGAGCCATGAGAGAACAGTATATGAGGACTGGTGAGGGTTTCCTGTTGGTCTTTTCAGTCACAGATAGAGGCAGGTTCGTACCAGCATTAAAATGTGGATCCATTGTTCCTGTCTAGATCACTATTTTATTGAATTTGGATTTCTTTGTTTTTATAGAAAAAGAAAAAGTAATAAAGTACCAAATAGAGCATGGGACTTGATTAATTCTGATACTTGACCAAATTCATTCATTTGTTTGTTTGTTTTTAGTTTTGAAGAAATTTATAAGTTTCAAAGACAGATTCTCAGAGTAAAAGATCGTGATGAGTTTCCAATGATTTTAATTGGTAATAAAGCAGATCTGGATCATCAAAGACAGGTGAGAAGGAATTTTGCTATTGGGAAACTTGTTTATAATTATTCAAGTGAATTGATATAGCTAATGAAATAGTTGAAGGTTCCAATGATTAAAAAAAAAACCTGCTGTTTACTACTTAAGTGCTTATAGCTGAGTCTGGCACACTGGTTGTTACAGAAGTCACAATGGTTAAATAGTAAAAAGGAAGTAGATTTGGAGAAATTAAATTTTCGCATAGTTTTACACAAAATTTCTGAAGATTCTGTAAGCCTTAGATTTATTTGTACCAGCTTCATTCACATGTAATAATTTCTTGGGTAACATCCAAAACTCTAGTTAGGCAATCTTAAAGTTACCCTGAAATACCTAATTTATTCAGTGTTAATACCAAATTATCTTCAATTAGAGAATGGCTTTAATTAATTAATTAATTAATTTTTTTTGACCGGTAAGGGGATCGCAACCCTCACCACCATGTGGTCCACACCACGCTTAGTCAGTGAGCGCACTGTCCATCCCTATAAAGGATCCAAAACCGCGGCCTCGGCGCTACCAGCGCCGCATTTTCCTTTAAATGACAGTGTTTGGATTTTTCCTAAGTCCCTTTAATGACCAAATTTTCTATTAATTCTTCACGTTGGCTAGCTCTAACACTAGTAACCTGCCAGAAATGAATATTTTTAGTATTTAGTTGCAGACTAGCTTATTATCACTTGTTTCTTTACTTACTTATTGAAGATTTTATTATTTTTAAACATTGTTGGTATATATTGTATACACATCTTTTTGTAGGGGAGGGGAACGAGGTCAGGTGTAAATTAATGCCAGCTCTGCGTTATTCAAGGGTTCTTTTTATGTCTTTATTTATTTTTGGTCTTTAGTCTACTCCACATCTGGAATGTTATTGTTTAAATTGTTTCTTTTGCTGATATTTAGTACTCTTGTTTTTATACAGCCTTGTGTTAACAGATTCTTAAGATTTTGTTGGAAAAGTACAAGCATCAGAAAAAATTGGTTGACAGCATTGAGGACTGTCTTCCGTTTTGTAGTTAACTGTTTAAAAGCACAATCTTTAATTTCTGCTATGTTTGCAGAATTCTGTTGGAGGCATACCAGATATAAAACACTGACTTAAGAGAATCATATATTGTTCTAATATTAAGATTTACACATGTTTACTGATAATACTTAGTGTAGAATAAATTTTTCTACTAAGTCTCTTTTAAATCTGAACAATTATAAAGTTATAGTGAAAAAATTTGATCTTCATTTCACATCAGTGTAACTATTTTTATACAACCTTGCACACTTTGTAAACCTAGCATAGACTGTTTATCTATTTTTTTTTAAATTTAATTTTGTTTTTTGGGGCCATTATTTGGGGCATCTGAACCTAATAATATTTATTAAATGTTGCCCAGTAAAACCTGTCTACTGTTTGTTCTTCTCGCTTTTTTCTAGTACTAGAAACTCTATATGTCACCAGATTTGGGAAGTAATGGCAAAGGAGATGTGCACTGAAGAAGGGTTCTTCTCTCTGTCTCATGCTAGTTTATGTCCACCCCCATATGCTTTCTGCTCTAATTATAGAAATAAGATTCTTCTCAAACCTTTTCATGGTGATTTCTCCAGCAAAGGAACAGGTGGGAGGAGATGTGGGGTGGGTGGAGGTCTCCTGTAGGGTAGGTAGTGGCAGATTAGGGAGAGAAGGGTGTATTCCCGTGGAGCCAGGCTCTGCCATGATTACCTTGGGGCAGGAGTTTATATGAGTTGTTTTAAGTTATCTATATATTGAAGACTTGCCAGTATGTGGTATGCAGTTTCTATCTGTCTGCATATATTCAACACATTGTGGCACTGGTTTTGTTTATATATCATAGGAATATAAAATTTTTCATGCAAGTTTTTTTCTTTTCATAAAAGTAATAGATCCTCAGGGTAAAATAAAAAACAAAGCTGTAGGAGAAACAATGTAGGAAATAAGTCTTCCATCACCTTAAAGATATGCACTGTTAGCTTGGAGTAAGTTTTTCTGTATTTTTTGCCTTAACCGTGTACCTAGGCATAGATTATGTATATGTTGGAAAGTTTAGGTGTGTATATATATATATATATATATATATATATATATATACACACGGGAGAAAAGCAAGTGGCTGAAATCTTACTACTTAATTTTCTGCTCATTCATATAGGTTCTACTATCTGAAGGATAGGCCCAAAGAAAAAATTTTTTCCTTCTTATGTTTTGTCTGTCTTCTCTTTTCTGGATTCCTTTGCACTTGCACTCTGGCATGTTGGCTGCTCTCACTTTAAAGTTATGACCACTAACTTTATGTGGGCCTTTAGTGCTGTCTGGAAATCCTACTACATTTCCCTAGTCCATTCATTTTCCACTTGTTTGGATAATTATTACTTTCTCATTGTTTTTCAACTTATAACACTTTCCTCCCCTTCCTTATTCTCAGCTGATGATGAGTGATAATTTTCTGTTTCACTGAGAAATTTTTACATGTTTCCACCTCCACATCTACTACTCTAAGTGCACACGTACCCCATCAAGCCTGCCTTCCCCCACTTACATGGATAAACTGTTCACTTGACTATGACCAGCTTGTCCTCCAGGCACTGCATCTTGTTTCTTTTCATTGACTCATGGACATCAGCCCCCAAATTGTTCCATTTCAGTTGTTCCATTTCTCTCCTACCTGATCGTTCCCATCAGCATACAGCATGCTACAATGTCTCTCATCTTTAAAACAAAAAGCAAAACTTTTATCTCATGTTCCCCTCCAAGTACATTTTTTTTCTGCTCCTCTTTAACAGCAAAAATCATTAAACTTGGTTTCTCTGCTTTCTTTCCTGCCATTCTTGCTTATTACCAATATCAGGCATTCAGTGTCATAGTCAAGATCACACTTGCGCAAATGTCCATTAACATTCGACACAGCTGACCACACTCGCCTTTTTGAAACACTTTCTTTGCTTAGCTCTGGGATACTAGTCCCTCCTCATCCTCCCAGTTTTTTTTTGTTGGCTCCTTTTCACCTCATCTCTCTAGGGTGTCTTAGGGCTCTGGAACACACGCTTTCGGGCTCCTTATGTATAGACAAACATGCCTTACCTCCTAGCCTCAAGAGGCATACTCAATGCAGTTAAAATTGAGATGCTGTAGTAAATAAAGCTTTTTACTTTTTGTTAAGTCTCTTCAGAATTAAAGGTGATATTCTGTAATGTCTTGGCACCCTCACTTGCTCTACCAACTCAACCTGGACAGGCCACAGGGACCCTGTAAAAGCTTCCCTCTGTTCACAGATATTTTGGGTTATCTCTAGGTTCTTTTGAGCAGTCTGGCTTGCTCAAGTTGCTGACCCAGATTGTTCTTTTCTGCCTTTGTCTTAGACATGATCCTTTGGATTCTCTCTAGCTTCTAGCCTATTTTTGTGTTGAGAGCAAATGCCAGTTCCTCTTGTTCTTTGTGCATCAGCCCTGGCATCCCTACTACTGGCTCCTGAGATTCTGAACCCCACCAGAGGGCAGAGATCAGTCAAAGAGGGCTTGCTTGCTTCCCTTTGGCCCCTATATCTCTGTGGACTTGCTTCTTTCATCCTTCCATCCATTCATCCAATACTTATTGAACATCTCTTCTAGGCACTGATGATGAAACAGTAGACAAAACAGTTACTAAAGTTTACATTAAATAATAAGATATCTGTAGAATTTGAATGGTTGTTTAGTGTTACCACCCATCTGGCCCTTTAGAGGTATATTGACCATGTTGTTTGTCCTGTCAAAGTTGTAGAAGACATAGGTAAACGATTTGGTTGCCCTTGCTAGAATATAAAAATAGATAAATAGGATAGCTCGTTAATTCTGAAATTTTAACAGCAGTGTGTGGGCTTGTTCTATGCACTTCATGATATATCTGATTTTAGGTTCCTTGTCCTTATTTCAGCCCAGTCTAGAAATCAACTGTTTTTGCTTTTTTGTTTTTACCACCTTTATCTCCCTGGATTACCTTAGCTACCCCCTCTCTTTTTCCCCTTGTTAGTTGCTTAATTGCTGATGGGCACCATTAATTCAAGAAAAGAACTCAGTATACTTATAATAATAGATACCTCATTGTACTAACCCAGACTCCTCCTATATGTCGGTACCTTGACCAAAATATGCCCCCTGCAGCCTTCTAGGAAAAATACCCCTTCCCCTCAAACAGTAGAGGGTCTTCTAGATGTGCCTTGTGTGCATGTAGAAGATTTGTAAGAAATTGAATGTAGGTACCATGAGGTTTGTCAGTTTTGACTGGTCAGTTTAGAACAGAGTTATGTACAGAACAGAGTTATGTACTCAATAAATATTAGTTGAATGAATGAATCTGGGCATCAGTGAGTCAATATGTGGTATTAATGTGATGATTCTTTCTACATAATAGATATTTTAAAAACAAACAAGCTTTGCTTCTGTAAACTTCATTAACGTGATACATCCCTAAGTGAGTGTCGCAAGTGTTGTAGTTTATTTCTGTTAAACCCAGTTTGTGCAAGTGAAGTTGCTTTTCGTTCCCATTTTGCTCTTCCCTATTTGGAAATATACAGATGAACTCATATTATTTTGGACTTCTGCTAATATTTCTCCCTTTGAATTGAATCTCATTGGAAGTTCCCAAAATGCATGTCTGTGAATTTGTTGCATCAGGTTCACCTTGGTTGTTTTAAGCAAAACATTTCAGGGTACGGCTCAAACATACAAAATCAAAAAGAAAAACCAGAGACAAGGCTTAGTATTTGGTATTTTTATCTCTGGGTTGGGGAGCCTCTAAGAAATACTTGTCTGGGTAGCTTTCAATCTTCTTTTGATTTCTGTCCCCACAGTGCGGTGGCTTAGCTCTCTGTGTTGTCTGTCCTTTTTATTCGCTTTAGTGGAATCGGTGCTGTTTCTGCTTCTTATTTAAAAGTATGCTACATCAGTGAGCTCAAAAGCAGCTTTATATGAAATGTGTGCACAAGTACTGCTAACCTTGATTCCTGGAAGACAGCAGTATGAAACCATACTTGAAAAATAAATAAATGAAGCACGAAACAAGAAATCTGCTTTAAATGTAAGGACACAAGTAGGTCGATAGTAAAAGGATAGTGTAAGATATGCCATGCTAACAATAAAGAAGACAAAGTTAAAAGTGGCTGTCCCGGTTGAACATTCCTAATCTGAAATCTGAAATGCTCCAAAGTCTAAAACTTTCTGAGCAAAGAAATACTCATTGGAGCATTTTGGATTTTGGATTTGGGAAGCTCAGCTGCTTAAGTATCTGCAGATATTCCAAAATCTGAAGAAATCTGAAATCTGAAACACTTCTCATCCCAAGTATTTCCAATAAGGGATACTCAACCTGTATAAATATCAGACACAGTAGACTTCAGAGCAAAGAGTGTATTACCAGGGATAAAGAGGATTGTTTATAATGATAAAGAGATTAATTTATCAAAAGGACATAACAGTCCTAAATGTTCATGTACCTGATAATAGCTTAAAGAATCTTGATGCAGGAATTGAAAGAACTGCAAGGAGAAGTAGACGTATTCACACTTTCAGTCAGAGACTTGAACACTCTTTTATCAATAATTGATAGAGAAGTAGAAAGAAAATCAGTAAGGATATAGATGACTTGAACAACATTATCAAACAACTTATCCTAAGTGACATTTAGTGAGCACTCCACCCAACAACAGTAGAATACAGATTCTTTTGAAATGTAAATGGATCATAAAACAAGCCTCAATAAATTTAAAAGGATTCTAGTCAGGCAACGTTTTTCTCTGACCACAATGGAATTAAATTGGAAATTAATAACAGATGTCAAGAAATCTCTAAACATTGGGAAATTAACATAAATCTAAGCCTTTGGTCAAAGAAAAAAAAAATCAAATTGGGTAATTACCAAGTTGTATGAACTGAGTGAAAAATTAAAACATAGGAAATCAAAATTTGTAGAATGCTACTATAAAAGTATGTACAGAGAAATTTATAGCACTAAATATTTGTATTAGAAAAGAAAAACATCTCAGTTAAATGACTTTACCTTCTACCTTAAGAAACTAGAAGAAAAAAACAGTAAGTAGAAAGGAAATGATAAAGATAGAAATGGAAACCAATGAAATTGAAAATAGAAGAAATAGGTGAAAAACCAAAACCTGGCTTTTGGAAGATCAATCAGACTGATAACCTGTAGCCAGAAAGATCAGATAACAAAGAGGGGAAGACAAAAATTAATATCAGGAATGAGATAAGGTATCATCTCTTCAGATCTTACAGATGTTTAAAAGATAAAGAAATAACTCTGAACGGCTTTATACTAATAAATTCAACAATTTAGATGAAAAGGACATATTACTTGACATGCACAAACTACCAATGCTCACTCAAGAAAAAAATAGATAGCCTGTATAGTACTGTATCTATAAAATAAACAATTTGTTATAAAAATTTTCCCTCAACAAGAAGTTCAGGTCCAGATGTATCCACAGGTGAATTATTACCAACATTTAAGGAAGAAATACTACCAATTCTGTACAAACTGTCCTGGAAAATTGAAGAGGCAAGAATTCTTTCCAACTCATTATGTGAAACAAGCATTACTCGGAAACCGAAACCAGACGAAGACATGAAAACTGCAGTCCAATATCTCTCATGAACATAGGTGTAAAAATTCTTAATAAAATGTTAGTGAATAGAATTTCACAATGTTTTGAAAGAATAATACATCATCATATTAACAGAATGAAAAAGGAAAAATTATATGGTCATCTCAATAGAAAGAACATTTGACAAATTCAACATCCATTCCTGATAGACATCATATACAAATGGAATACTAAGTAACTTTGTTAACCCGATGAAGGGCATCTACAATAAAATCCTATAACTGACATCATACTTAATGGTGAAAGACTAAATGCTTTGTCCCTAAGATCAGAAACAAGTGAAAGGGCTGACTGTTTAGCTCAGTTAGTTAGAGCATGGTGTTATAACACCAAGGTCAGGGTCCAGATCTGCATACGGGCCAGCTGCCAAAAAAAAAAAAAAATCTCTTTCACCACTTCTATCATTGTCTTGGAGGTTCTAGGCAGAGAATGAAGGTCAGAAAAAGAAGTAAAAGACATTGACATCAGAAGGAAGATACAAAAATGTCCTTATTAGCAAATGACACAAGTATGTAGAAAAGCCTATGGAATTAACAAAATAACTCCTAGGTAAGTGAGTTTAGAATATATCCAGGGTATACGATAAATACATAAAAATCATCCTGTTCTTATAGTGTAGAGAATGTGCATTATTGAAAAATGACCAGAAGAATATAGTTCGCTATGGGTGATAGATTCCTACATTTTTTTTTTCTCCTCTGTCTTTTCTAACCTTTCTGCAAGTGTTTACTTTTGTTATAACGACAGCAATAAAAGGCTTTTTTTTCCTCCCAGAAATAGAACTTTAATCCCTGTTATATAAATGTAATATAGTTTAATAGTTTTATGGAAATAACACTATGCAAACCCGTTACATTTAAAATATATAGGATATTTACTTACATTCAATTAATGTTTTCTTATTCTGGCGTACCACTTCATAGATCAGTCAGCTGTATCACCCTTCCTTGCCTGCCTTCCTTCACCTCCAAATATAAGGCATTCTGAGGGCCTGTGATCTCTTCATAATTCATTTTCCCTATATATTTAAGAGTGTCTCCTTTGTACCCAGTACTGGGAATGCGCTGATGAAGAGACCTAGGGCCTCTGAAGCACTCTTCGCCAAACCCACCTCTTGCCGTTTTCTCTTTGCTTGCTGTGTTCCAGCCATACTAGGCTTCTTCCAATTCTTAAAACTTGGAAAGCCCGTACACTCTCATGGCCTCACACATGCTATTTCCTTTGTCAGCTCACCCCTCACTCCATACTCTGTTTAGTTCTTGGCTTAAGTACCATTTTTTCAGGGAATTTTTTCTTAATATCCCCATCAAGGTAGGTACTCTCATTGCATCTTGTAACTTGCCTTCCCAGGATGTATTACTGTTATAGTTAATACTATTGTGTAATCTCTAGACTGAAATCTTGTTGTCTGTTAGTATTTCCATCACAAGCATGTTCTTCTGCATTGTTCTGCAGAGGGTGGGCTTCAGTTTGTGTTGAGCTATTAAGTCTGTTGGTTTATCTTATGATAAAACAGCTTGACCTCTGGCTGGATTATCAACACAGTCTGTGGTCAGGATTAGATGGAGTAAATCCAGTTATTAATACTGTAACTTAAACACAACTCTTGGAATTTCAGGTAACACAGGAAGAAGGGCAGCAATTAGCACGGCAACTTAAGGTAACATACATGGAGGCATCAGCAAAAATTAGGATGAATGTAGATCAAGCTTTTCATGAACTCGTCCGGGTTATACGGTAAGCAGACCACATTCTAGAAGTATATTTTAATAAGTTACCATTGAATGTTTTTAGTAAGAAAGAGGACAGTCTATATAGGAGTGATTCTTTTCTAGGTGTTGATGCATGTGGTGTGTTAAAAATTTTAATTAAGATGTATTATATTCTAGGCACTTCCTGCATACAAAATCTAGTTTAATTATATTTAATTAGAAAGTACACAAAAGGATTTTGTAAAGAATAAATGGGGCTGGCCATGGCCAGTTAGCTCAGTTGGTTAGAGTGCGATGTTATAACATCAACATCAAGGATTGGGATCCCCTTACTGGCCTGCTGCAAAAGTAAATAAATAAATAAATAAATAAAAATAAATGCAGCTTCCAAAGGTGGTGGTGGTATGAAGACAGTGATAGCAGCTGACATTTGAGTGGTAATCTCTGCCAGATACTGTGCTGAATGCTTTACATGTATTATTACATGTAATCCTCACCACAGCCCAGTAAGCTAAATACTTTCTTTTAACCTCACTTTCAGACGAAAAAGCAAAGGTACAGAGAAGTTAAATAACTTGGTCAAGGTTTAAACGTATTAAATGCCGAGCTGGGGTATGAATCCAAATCTCTGATTCCAGAGCCCAGGTGAAGAGTAAGCCAGTTAGTAGAGGTTCAGTAATCCCATAAGATGCGAAGTGTAACATTTCAAACTACAAAGAATTTTTCTGTTAGATGGCCTAGGAGGCCTCTGTGGTTTAGAGAGTGTTTGATGGGTTCCAAGAACCTTGAGGTGATGGGTGGTGAAGTCGGCTGGAGCTACTATATGTGTTTGCTTCTGAAAAAGACTAAGTTGCTTTAGTGGGCAGGGTTTGACTTATTTTGTGTCTTGGTGGATTGGCTTCTACTTCACCCCTCTGCTTTCTAGTTCTCCTGGGATTCTCTGCTAGTTAGATAGTTTGACAGGAATGTGGAGAGGGCTCTTATTTATTGTATATCTAAGGTGAATTGACACCTGGCCTATGTATGGTCTTGTATTCTTTAGACTGTTGTTGCCAGAGCATTCTCTTTGTGGAGAAAAAAAAATAGTAAAGGTTTTTTTTGGTATAGTTGTGTGTTGCATAACGATGTTTCTGTCAACAGTGGACCATATATAAAACAGTGGTCAGAGCAGTATGCTATACCATATAGCCTAGGTGTGTAGTAGGCTGTACTGTCTAGGTTTGTGTAAGTACGTTCTATGATATTCGTACAACAATGAAGTCACCTTAGGATGCATTTCTTAGAATGTATCCCTGTCCTTAAGCAATGCATGACTGTAGTTTGTTAAAAATCCCAGTCCTATTATTGTTTAACGGGTGCAGAGTTTCAGTTTTGCAAGATGAAAAGAGCTCTGGAGCTGGATAGTGGTGCTGGTTGCATAACGATATGAATATGCTCAATGCCACTGAACTGTACACTTAAAAATGGTCAAGATGGAAAAACGTATGTTATATGTATTTTATCCCCCGCCCCGCTCCAGTTTCATTTTAGTGTTAAACAGCTGATGATCCAGTGCCTTCTCAAAAATAATGATCACTGCCTTTTTGAAGTATTTTGTTCTTCGTTTTGATCCTTAGGATCTGTCCTTTTCCCTCAATTGATAAGGAATGAGGAGGGGAGTAGAGAAGGGTTTTTCTTACGCAGGGCACTGTTAGGCAAAGTTTAACATGAAAAGATCTATTTAATCTTCATAGCAACTGTGAAAGGGAGGTTTTTATTATTCCCTTCTAAAAAACCGAGGCTCAGAGAGGTCGCTAACTTGTCCAATAGTAACTTTAAAAAGTGGCAGGACAGGGATAAGAACTGTGTACCTCATAAGGGTAATTTTATATTGTACTCTCGTGATGGATGTTTATTCTTAAGTGTACTATAGAGTCATGGAATTTCAAATTAGGAAGGGAACTTAGAGGTTACAGAGTCCAGCAACTCATTTGATCCAGGACTCACCCACTAAAGCAACTCAGACAGCTCTGCTGTCGCTGCTGTTGAAGCATGTGTGCCCTGCCCCCTTCTGTTTTTTGTAACTATTTACTTTAACCCCTAGTTAAAGTTTAACATTGAAAAGCATATGCACTTAAACTAGACTTGTCTGAAAATAACCTATATTTGTAATAGTAGATTACCAAGAAGGCAATTATATTTAGATTTTTCTATCTTACAGGAAATTTCAAGAGCAGGAATGTCCTCCTTCACCAGAACCAACGCGGAAAGAAAAAGACAAGAAAGGCTGCCATTGTGTCATTTTCTAAGAATCCCTTGAGTTTTAGCTATCAACTGCCGGGAAAAGCCCACATCGTCTCCTTTTCTCCTTACCGTTTACATCATATTGGTACCTTTCTTAGCCTTAGACAGTGATCACCATGTTAGCCTTAGACCAAGAAGCTGGCTAATTCTTTCTGTGAAGCTAATACAATGGTCATTTCCAAACAAATTTAAAGGAAACACTAAGGCTGCTTCAAAAATTATCTGATTTCCTTTAAGATATATGTCTATATTCAGAGACACATTCTTTTTTTAAGGGTTTTCATTTTAATAGACACAAATCAGTTTTGGAACCTAAGCTATTTGCCAAGCTGAAGTCATAGGTTGTGAAATAATTTTTAACTTCTGGAATCATGTTGCCTACTGTTACTCTAAATAGAAACATAGGGAGTTTTTTAAAATGTGAATTTTAATCTATCTTTAAAATTTCAATGTCAACTCTGGTTAACCTTAAATACACTGAATTGAATCTACAAACGTGAGACATCTCAGACCTTTACTGATGCTACAGCTTTTGTTTACCAATGGCCAAAATACCAAAATGCCTATTGTATTTATGGATTAAAAACTGCTTTAAAAAGCCTTGTTATTACTCCTACTCTTTAAGATGATAATATTCTATGTGGCTAAATATTTGGACTCATTTTGGACTTAGGCATTTCACTGTACTTGATTTTGAAATTCTTTTCACAACCATGCTAAGTGTAAAAATGAATAATTTCTGTCTTCCTTTTCAAGTATTTCTGGATAAGGGATTCAAAAAAACTAAAACTGTTTTTGTTTGATGTAATATAAAATATGGAATTGATCTTTCCAGGGTCCGAGATGATTAATGTTTTTGCTATATACTTTTATACATTATTTTCTTATCAAACTAGTTAACAAGTATTTTTATATGTTTGTAAGCAAATATGCTTTCACAGCATAACTTGTGTATATGTAAACATAAGTATTTAATTCTCACTGTTCACTTTTAACTGACAAAGAAGAAAAAGTGGAAACTACAGAAACTGTGGTAGAACCTTTACTTGTTGGTCTGGTCCTGGCTGTACCCACCTTTGGCCAGTCACTCAAGACAGCTTCCCAGAAGAGTACAACAGGATGAGACTCTGAAATCACTTTCAATATCCCCTCCTAGATATCGACTGTTATGTCAAGTATTACATGTAAAATTTTAAATCGACAATTATTAGTATAAGTGTGGATGGCTTCTGGTTTTGTTTTTAATTCTGTGGATTGTGTTTAAACAATTCAAAAGTATGTTCCTGATTTTGAGATACTAAGTGGTATTGCACAGTTGTCACTTTATTGAATGTGTACAACATACCCTTGTATAGCTTCAGGTGCTAGAATTAAAGGTGATCTGTTACCACAAGATGATGCTCAGTTACTCATTTTGTTATTCTAGGGGTTTCTTGAGGGAATGAGTGTTAAAGGAAGCTATTTTAGTAGCTGTATGCCTTTTCTCAACAATGCTTTAGGATTTGAATCTAAAAATCATCATTGGTCATTCAGCAGGTGAACTTGGTGTGAAACAATTTGGGTTCTTAGTGATTTCTTGAATGTTCCCTTAAGTTAGTGTTTCTTAATTTTTTTCTATGAATTGCTGACAGAGAAGCCCAACTGTAGAAGAGAGGGAAGGGTGAATATATGTGCATATACTCCTCTGAGCATGAGGCCTAAAACAGTTGAAGCAAAGCACGCAATACATTTATTTGAAGACTAATAAGAATTACATAATTTTCCATTGTACTTCATAATATAATTACATTAATACAGAAATAGCTTTCCTTTCAAGTCTTCTAGTAAAATTACTGCTCAGGAAGATATGTTTGTCCTGTGCCTTTTGACATGTCCTTGGTAGTACTTTCAATTGGAAAAGTATTTTACTTGTCATTTATTCAGATAACAAGAGACTGCTTGCATAATATCCAGATTAAATGGGAAAGCTGTCATATTTTATTATCTTTAGGGCTGGCTGGTTAGCTCAGTTGGTTAGAGCATAGCCTTATAACACCAAGGTCATGTGTTTGGATCCCTGTAATGGCCAGCCACCAAAAGAAAAAAAACAAAAAACAAACAAAAAATTTGTTATTTCAATTTACTTTTTGTCTCTCTGTGTTTCACTTTGGATTAATTTTATTGCTACATCTTCAAGTTCCCTAACCTTTTCTTCTGCAGTTCTTAATCTGCTCTTAATACTATCCAATGAATTTTCATTTCTGGCCTTTTTCCCCTAGAAGTTCTATTTGGATCTTTGTTATATATTGTTTCCCCTCTCATTGTGTTTATGTATTCCTCTTAACCAGCCTTTCTCAACTGGGTTCCCAGATAATTGAGCCCTGGTGCCTTGCCTTATCTGTTGTGTGTCTCCTTGGGAAACGTGAGAAAATGGTCACTCATAACCTTCTGTAGGGCTTACTTCTCTTACAGAACCGTAGCTGAAAAAGGCTGCTTTGAATTTTTGAGCATGGTTAATGTTTTAATGTCTTTGCTGATTCCATCGTTCTCTAATTTTTGGATTTGTTTCTACTGACTGATTTTTCTGTAGTTATGAGTCATATTTTCCTGCTTTTTCACATGTCTAGTAAGTTTTGGTTGGACATCGTGTATTTTATGTTGTTGGGTGTCTAGATTTTGTTGTCTTCATCTGAAGATTTTTGGGCTTTGTTCTGGTAGTCAGGAATTTACTTGTAGTTCAGTTTGATCCTTTCAAGTCTTCTTTTTAAGCTTAAAGCAGTCTCACAGTAGCCTTTTTTCCAGGGTAGTTTGTCTGCACTACTCAAGTATGGCTTATTTGGGATCAATAGTGAATGCCTTGATTGATCAGTAATTATACTTGTCCTATTTGGTTTGCGGGAATGCAATTCCCAGCCCTGTGTGAGTTCAGGGGGGTCCATTTTATTCACAGCTTCTAGGCAGTAGCCTTTTTTCCAGGGTAGTTTGTCTGCACTACTCAAGTATGGCTTATTTGGGATCAATAGTGAATGCCTTGATTGATCAGTAATTAAACTTGTCCGATTTGGTTTGTGGGAATGCAATTCCCAGCCCTGTGTGAGTTCAGGGGGGTCCATTTTATTCACAGCTTCTAGGTCATTCCTTGCCCAACTTCCTGCAGTTTCACCCAATACGTATTTTAATTTTCAGCAGAGACTCCTTAACCCATATTTTTAGAGCTCATTTTCTGTGTAGCTGTCTTTTCTCCAGAACTTTGTCCTGCAAATTCCAGCTGCTTCAAACTTCCTGATCTCCAATGCCTGTCTTTTCGGCTCAGGGAAATGTTTATGCCCTGCTTGGAATCCCTGCCATTCTCTCTACAATCTGGAATGTGCCTCCATGCTGAAAGCCGGGGAAATCTTAAGGCTTACTTGATCTGTTTCCCTTCCATCAAGGATTGTAGTCCTGCTGCCTGCTATATGATGTCTGAAAAGAGTTGTTTCATTTATTTAGTCCAGTTTTTTTTAATTGTCAAAGGTAGGAGAGTAAATCTGGTTCCTATTACTGCAGCATGACTAGAAGTTGAAGTCTCTCCCATTTGATTTCTATATAATCACAGGTGCCTCATCTGACTGGAAAACTTTTCTCACAAAGGGTGGCCAGTCTCATGTTATGAATGGTCCTTAATCTGTGTGGCAGTTTTTCTCTTTCTGTATATTGAAGTTTGTATTTCATATCATTGTCATCTGTCATGAAATATTAGTCTACTTTTGCATTTGTTTCTCAACCATTTAAAAACCATTTTATACAAAAACAGATGGTAGGAATGGATTTGACTCATGGGCCATGATTTGCCAACCCTGTTCATTTAGCATTTAACATTCCTAACTTTAGAATCTCTTATGCCTCTTTATAATTGTGGAAATTCTTTCATACAGGATTTCCTGAATGAATGGTCATGAATTTCTGTATTAGGAGTTTTCTCCTTATATTGTTTGTTTAGAGATTTACCGTATTTCAGAGTTGGACATTATGCTTTTATTGACATACATGTTACATTGATGACTATCTAAATTTAAGGCTTCAGAATTTTCTAATATAAATTGGCTCCTTATCATTTGACTTCTAAACTTTGCTGTAACAAAGTTGTACATATTAAGGTCTAGCCTGCTTAATGCCACTGGACTTTTGATAATTTTATTTATTTTCTCACCATTATACATAATGATCCCATTGAAGAGATAACTGGCTGGTAAATAGGAGATGATGATCAAGTGGTCACATTCTTAACCACTTGACCACTTAAGGGTTTTGAACTAGTGACTATTTCTAAAGTTTCAAGGTATTTTAATTTAAAAAATTTGAGCAGATTTCTTTGTGCAAGGCTGTATTAGGTGTTCTGGGGAGATGGGTACATGTTGAGATTTTCCTTCCTTCAAAGTATTCAGAGTCTATTGGAGGAAGATTAAGAGTGTCACAAACAAATGCTGGGGCCCTGTATTTCAAGGCAGAGGGTGAGAAGGATGCAAAAAGTATTGTCAGGTCCAGCAGAAGGGATGGTATATATTCATCCTGGAAACTCTGAAGGGGCTTCTTAATTAGAAGTGATGTTTCAGCTGGAGCTTGACAGATTAGTAGGATTTGAGATGGGGAGGAGAGGAGAAGAGTGAAGTGGGGGAGAGGCTGGAAAAAGCCTGGGCAAAGGTACAGCATTGGCAGGATGCAGGGTGTATTCTGGAGTTGGAACCTTGGTCTGAAAAGGTTCTAAGTGCAATAGGAAAAAATATGATAAATTAGTCTGGGATGGGGTTGTGTAGGGCTTTAAGTAGGGTAGCCCTCCTGTATACAAATAATGGGAAACTGCCAAGGATTCTGAGTAGGAGGTGCCTGGATCCAGTCTACTGATAGTGTGAATGGCAGAGAAGTACAAATTTAAGGAAGGGTGGTCCAGTAAGAGGTGGTTGGAACCACGTAGTCTGTCCTCTTAGTATCAGACTCAGTGAGGACAGAGCCATAGCTGTTAGGTTTACTGCTTTGCCCGTATTGCCTGGGATGTGCAGAAGAATCACCTGATGAATGAATGATTTCAGAGAAAGATGGTGAAGACCTGAACTGTAGTAACATGTGGAGAAGGGGACTGAACATTCAGGGTATATCCAAGAGTTAGGGTCTCCAATATTGAGTCTGGGTGCCCAGGAAGGTGGTGGTGGTATTAACTAAAATAAGGAGCATAGGCAACTCTCTAGTGATGGAAATACATGGTGTTTCTTACAGTCACGTACAGGGTTAGCCCAGGAGGCATTTGGGAATAGGGATTGGGAAGTGCAGATTTGGAATTTATCTTTTTTGAGCTAGTGATTGAAGAGATAGAAGTGGGTAATATCCACTAGAAGGAATGTATTTGACAAAAGTTCCAAGGGTAAATCTTTTTGGGGAAAACAAACATTTGGGGGGTAGAAGATTAAGAGGCAGCAAAAAGTCAAGAGCAGCAGCCAGAAACTGGAGCCTGTATTGTATGGTGAAGGAAGCCAATGGAGAGGTAAAAAGCATCGAGTGCGTGCAGAGGATGGGGAGGAAGAGGCAGCAATGATCATGTACGGGCTGCTAATGGCTTCCTTAGATTTGTTACAGTCATCATTTGGTTGTGGAAACCAGATAACAGTGAGTTGAGGTGTAATTGGAGGGTACGAAGTGGAGAAAGTAAATGTGGGCTATTTTGAGAAATTCTGTGGCAAAATCGGGGTGATGGAACAGTTATCTTGCTTTATAGGGTAGGATGTTAGAGGAGTAAGAGCCAGTGCAAGGTACTTAATCACAGGTATACAGGTCTGGAAGTAGGTATTGTCATCTGGATACTTAAGCATTTGAGATTTAAAAGCCGAGTGTTTGCAGGCTGGCATCCCCTTCTGACTGGTGAGGGTGGTGTAGCACAGCACTTCTCACGCTATCTGTGCTGAAGGGCCAGCTTAAAAACGTTTTAATCTCCAGTGTTGTGGACTGATACTTTTGCTAAACGTGATAAAAATGAGTTACTAGGAAAATAACCATTCTCTTGGATATCATGGCAGTGTCAAATGACTATAAAAATTTCTAAATACTTGCTTTCGATGTCTGTATCTCATTTATGGATGTTATCAGTCTGCAGATCTTATCTTTGAGTAGTGTAGTGGGGGCAGGAGATTGAGGTATTTTTCACAAGTGGCTCCTCTGATTTCCTTAGATTGGCTGGAAATTCAGGTTAGGATCAGCCAGTAGGAATTGCATCTCAATACCAGGGAAAATAGGGACTCTACCTTTATAAACTCCAAGTATTGTAAAGATGTTTGCCTTTTTTCCCCTTATGTTAATACATAAAGAATTATTGAGGTGCAGGAAAATTGTTTAAACATGCACTGCTTAAAATATGAGAACTATTACCAATCAACTCTAAAGACAGAAGTATTTAGAGCAATATGAGAAAATGCTAATGAATGCTACTTATGTTAAGACATTATGAATATTATGAATGTTAAGTGAAAACAGCCTGAAATTGCATTTTGCTCCGATAACTAAAAATTGTGAATGCATATTTTATTTGTTCTGACATTTTCGGTTGTGAGTGACAGAAATGCAACTCAGACCAGCTTCAGCATAAAGTGGGTGTTTACTGGATTATGAAGAAGTGAGGGATGGGAAGGGTGGGGCTGGCATTCAGTGAGTCCTAGGATGGGATACCATCAGGACTTGCTCTCCAGATGAGAATTGGCTAACTGTCGATGTGGGGTCCTTTAGTGTGAGAAAGCTTGTGTCAAAGCTGAGGCCAGAAGAGGTAAAATAACTGGCCCCAGCTCTTGCAGCTACTGAGAGGTGCAGCAGTGGTTTGAACTTAGGTTCCCCATGCTCCACCAGTACACAATCTGTGCCTCTCCGTCCCACAGATTGTACAAAGCTTCGGAACCAACAGGGTTTCTAAAGCTGGCATGCCATTATTTGAATCTGATATTTTAGTACAGATCTTTTGCTTTCAGATTTCAAAGGATTTAAATTGAAGAATTAGCTTCATGCTAATTAGCATTCAGCTGCTATTTATAATTTGTTATTGCATCTAACTCATTTTCAGAAGGGATTTATTTTCATTCATTCTCCCTACTTTGGGTAATATGAAGAACAAAATCAATCATTCTATGATTAAAATTAATAGCACTAAATGATAAAGTAGTGGAAATGGCTGTGTTTTCTTGATTCTGTGTTGTAATTAAGGATTAAACATTTATGTTTAGTCTTGTTTGGATAAGTGTCCATTTCTTTAGGGTAGGGTGTAAATATTTAACTCCTTTGTAGCTGACCTCTAGTTGAACTTCCAAGGCTGAGCTCTTTCACTCCAGGTCAAAGTGATCTGGAGAAGCCTTTCTGCAGTTGAGTTTTGTGATTTGATTTAAAAATTTATTTTTACGCAAGTATTGCTTGAAACGTGAGCTAAACAGAAATATGTCACAGAAATAATTTGACAGAGAATTTTTGTATATCGACATTTTAGCCAAGGACTTGAACTGGACTAAGTTTCTGGAGAGATATAGCCATGTGCGAATGTGTAATGTACCCTTACTTCTTGGAAGAAGTACATAGACTTTGAGTATGCCTAAGACATGTTTAAAATACAGAGTTCAAATTAAACAGCACAAAATCCTCTTAATTTTTTCAATTCTGGGTCTGAAGAAGCCCAGATTTTATTCTTATTTACTACAACAGATTTCCTTCAAATAAAATGCATTGGCAGGGTGACAGGTATTAGGATCAGCCAGTAGGAATTGCATCTCAATACCAGGAAAAATAGGGACTCTACCTTTATAAACTCCAAGTATTGTAAAGATGTTTGCCTTTTTTCCCCTTATGTTAATACATAAAAAATTATTGAGGTGCAGGAAAATTGTTTAAACATGCACTGCTTAAAATATGAGAACTATTACNGAAGAAGTACATAGACTTTGAGTATGCCTAAGACATGTTTAAAATACAGAGTTCAAATTAAGCAGCACAAAATCCTCTTAATTTTTTCAATTCTGGGTCTGAAGAAGCCCAGATTTTATTCTTATTTACTACAACAGATTTCCTTCAAATAAAATGCATTGGCAGGGTGACAGGTGAGTGACCCAATGTCTGGTTGGGAAATATATCTCTGAATGTGTTACTTTTAACTTAAAATGTGGGTGTAAATTGAATTACAGCTGGTTTGGCATTGATATACAACAATTATAGCTGTTCTTTATATGGCAGCTTTTAGTAGATGTCTTATGATTTCTTTACTATCTAAGGTGGAAATCCAAACACATTTCATTTTTGTAGTAAAAAGTCTTTATTTCCAAAATGATTGGTTAGCCAGAAAAACTATAAACCACCTAACACAAGACTTTGGTAAGAAAGAGATTTGATGCTTCTTATAAATTCCCCATTGCAAACAAAAAATAACACATGTGACAAGAATCACATTACCCATTCTAGGCCATTAACCAGTTACCTGGTTTTAAGTCTCCAAAATCAGGAGTAATAATGTACCCAACAGGGACCAAATACCATGAGACACTAGGGTGGCTTGTCCTTAGAGTTACTTAGAAATCACCATCTTGAGGAACTTGGATTTTCATGGGTTAAGAATAAGTATGCATCTAGATAACTTAGAACAATGTTGTAAAAATGGACAGATTCTGTATCAGGGCTTTTTTATTGTTTGAGTAGGAAATTAAACCTCATTTCTTTATATTATATTATGCTCCTTTGGGGGGGGGGTGAAATCAGTTCATTTAAAGATTTAAAAAATTGTTGGAAACAATTCAAAGCTGCAGGTAGCTCAGGCATATGGTCACAATAATGGCTGCTCCAGAGTAAGGGAGCCAAAGCCATATCTTTGAAAGAAAATGTGGTGGATAACAATTGTAAAAATACCCAACCTTCTGTACACTTAATTAGCTTAAAAACAGTAAGGACAGATCCAATATGTTTTTTATTGAACAGTCTCTCTTGTTTTAAAGAAAATACATATTTAAGGTTATGTCATATATATATGTGTGTTTTGTTTGGAAATAGCCTTGATGTCATTTGTGCAGATTTTCTAAGTAGTGTATTCAAAGCACTGTATGCATTTCCCCTATGGTACATATTTGGATTAAGCAGTAAAAGAAATGAAACAATAGCTTTAGTGATAAATGCATGAGCAAAACTGCTGATGGACTCAACTGAGAAAAATATCCTTTTACAATAATGCTTGGTAGTCAGTCTCCCTGAATTTGGTGTGCTTGTGATTGTTTGGACGAGGATAGAAACCCCTGGCCTTCCCTATGGATGTCTGTGTGGAGAGCTCACACAGGTTTGACTTCCCACCAGAATCTCTTGTTCAGCTTGATTCCACAATATTCTTTTCTCCTAGATTGTCTGTCTGTCTGGGTCTTTGAAACACTTCTCTACATAAAAAATTTTTATGACTAGAAAATGACTTTGAAGTACAAAGATAGTATTTTTGTTGAAGTAATGATTTGGGGACTCTGGACAGACAGCAAAAATGTTTACATAATGAATTCATGTTAGAAACAGATTTGAAAACTTGCAAGTCTAGATATGTACAGGAAGGTTTTAAAACTCAGGTTTGGGACTGCTGGAGCGGCCAATTTTGCTGCCTTGTCCTTGGTTCCAATAAGGGTCTTGAACCAACAGGTTTATAAGGTTGGCTTCTTAGAAGAATTGTGAAAAAACAAAAAAGCAAGGGAAAAATACTTTCTACACTTAGTACCCATTATCTCAGGTGTGGTTTATCTCGGGTGTGGTAAGAGTGTGGTTACCTTACATTTAAATAAAACAGCCATCATTGTTTTCCTCTGGGATATCAGGAACCAATATTAGGGGGTAAGATAAATGGATCCAGAATTTCTCAGTGAAAGAAGAAAAGCCACCCGACATCAATGCTCCTCTTCAAGTCTACCAGCTCTGTTTCCCCGAGAACTACTGATGACTGAAGAGACTTAACAAGAGACCTAAAGTTCCACTTGATGAAAAGGAATGGGCAGACAATCGTTTTCTGCAAGAGTGAGCAGGCCAAAGATAAGAAGGAGGGGATTCTGCTTCCTACAACTGATCAGAAATGTTTCCTACCTGCTGCCTCCTGGGACCCAGGCACTGTCATTTTCAGACATGATTGCCCCTCCATGTGGTCTCTGCCCTGCCTGGCCAGGTGGATGCTTCAGAGGGACAAGTTTCAGTTTAGTACAAGGTGGTTTACACTACTCATTTCTGTGTAGCAGGAGGGCTGGCTGAGGGTAATGGAGCCCCACACAGCCTGTACCCACCAAGAAGTATTTGTCCCTGGCATCCACAAGACTACTGGACGAACCACATTGCAAAAATGAAAACAAGTGTACACAATTTAAATTGTCTTAAACAAGCAAACAATCCAGCCATTGGTGACTGTGGAATCTAGAGTGCAACCTTGGGGAACTTGTACCCTTGCTAACAAGGGTGAACATTGCATGCTCTGATCTCCTTCTTGTCTTTGCAGCTGCTAAACTGGGAGCTTTTGAATCTCTTCTTTACAGTCATGTAGCGTTCCTGTATCCCACCTCCGCACAGTTTGGTGCATTCTGACCAGGCCGTCCATGGGCGCATCCTGCAGCCTGAAAGCATGAGAATGCCTGGTTAGGTAGCAGAAATTGGGGACAATAGGGATGTCTAATTTAGTTGTCTGTGCTTCTCCTCTGTTCCTGTATGTAATGATTTGTTGAATTAAGTAATAGTTAGAGTCCTTATTAGGGACTGTCAGCTCATGTGTGATAGATTGCAAAAAAGTGGCCTTAAATGCTTTACAGCTCTTCCTGTCAAGGGATGGAGTCTTTTTCTCCCACTCTTGAATCTGGGCTTGGCTACGTGACTTGCTTTTTGGCCAATATGACATGAGCAAAAACATGGTTTGCAAAAAGCTACTAAGAACCCTTCCAGCTCTGTGTGAGCAAGCCTGGCTAGCCTACTGGAGAGACCATGTGGAGAGAGGCCCCAGCCATCCCGTGAGGCCCCAGAAATGCAGCCGAGGCCAGTGTTGGCCTTTGCAGGCCCTGGTGAGCTCCTTGCTGATTATAGCCACATGAATGAGCCCAAGCTAGACCTCTGAAGAATCGTCCAGCTAAGCCAGCCCAAGTCACTGGCCCACAGAAACATGTTCATAATAGATTGTTTTAAAAAGCTTCTGTTTTGGGGTTGCTTGTTATGCAGCAACCATTCAATGGAGCAATCCATTTAAATGGATTTAAAACCATTTTTTAAATCCCTTCCTCCCCAAGTACTTAGCCTCTCAAATACTAAGTAAACTGAAGTGACTTTTTGTTTTTCCTTCTCAGCACAAACACTGCTTTTCTCAAAGAAAAGTTCCCTGACCCCTAGAGATTAGATCTTTTGTTTACATGTGTCCATAGCACTCTATATTTCTTGTTTGTAGAACCCATCACATTTGTGATTATGCATTAGATATCTGCTCACCACACCACAGCTGAACAACATAGTCGACAATGTTTATTGACTGGCTGACTATCAAGAGCAACCAACATTTTGGTAGGCAAACAGCTCCCTAAATGAAACAGTGAACTGTCAGGTAGCTCCACACACCTTCTCCATTTCTCTCATTGTCCCATATGGAGGGGGAACATCTTAACAAAGAGAGAAGAAAAGGGGTCATTTGAGCTGTGCTTTTTAAAATAATCAGAAACTTGATGTATCCATTAACCTTCACTTTTACATGGGCACCTTTCTCACCCACTCCAGAGAATCCAACTGTCCTGTGCTTAAGGCTTCACCATGGGTCTTCCCCCAACCCACTGTTTCATCAGTTTGCTGCGGATACTGCACCCTTGGTGTGGGCCAGCTGATGCAGCAGTGAAGCCCAAGGCAGGGATTCACCCCCCGCCCCGTGCCTGGCCAGAATCAACCCCTGGGTTTTGGTGGTATCAGCACTATGCTCTAACCAACTGAGCTAATCAGCCAGCCCTGTTTTTCTTTTTTTTTTTTTTTTTTTTTTTTTTTTTT